TCCAGCCTGGGTTGCCTATATGCAAATTGCAAAAATGCATCTTGCGACGACCCTGTCTGTGTGTGTATGTTTGTGTGTGTGTGTGTTTGTTTGTGTGTGTGTTCGTCTGCCCAGGTAATTCAACTCGGCAACCAAGCAATCTCCGGCGCCAAAGTTTTGCTAGCGGGTTCCACGACCATGTGCCACCCCAGAACCGTGGTACCAACCCCAGTGCACGAAAGGGTCACTCTTCTAACTATTAACATTTATCGAATATCATTGCCCTGACCATAAAGTGATATTTCAGGATGACGTAAGCAAGTTTTCGTGCTCGAACAAATTTTTAATTAGGTTTTTTGAGGGCAGTCTCATAAAAGCAGTTGTTCTGCACTAGCCATTAACTCAAATTCACGAACCTTTTAAGCGTTATATTTGCATTTAAACATGGATACGTCAAGAACTGCGCAAATACATCGCTGAAATTACGTCTTCAAAAATTATCACAGTTATCTCACTTTTTTGTTTTCAGTCTCCAGATACTTCTGGCTCTGAAGATAATGATTCTTCTTACCAAAACTTCCATGGGGACGTTGAAAAATTGCGGAGTTGCACGTAGGCAGGGAATGCTACGCTAAAATTTCGGCTTCGTCAATTTTGTAGTTCCCGAGATAATAATTTGCCCGATTTGCAAAGTCGTGCCTGGGCAAGGGGTCACTAGCTTAAAATTTCAGCCTCCTAGATTCAGTAGTTCCTGAGATAATAATATACCCGTCAAAATTTCCTCTGTTCAAGTACCACGCAGCTGCACAACTAACTTTCTGAATTTCGAGAGTCAGTATGTCACAAATACTAGCTGCTGGAATCCCAAGCGATCTTACTACAGCACAAAATACTGCAAAAATGCATGACCGCATGGGCCCGCCTAGTATGCGTCGCTAATGATTTATTTTATCTATCAGCATTACAATCGTCATACTGACGAGGTCCAGTTATGGTATTACGACTTAATGGATGGAGATATTCGTCTTCATCAAATTTTTTGATGTAATATTGTATAATTTTGTACACCATAATATCTGTATTATCATAACGGAGGCTGATGTAGTTACAAACTATAATGCCACTGAATGTTTTTTCTTATCTATGCAGGAGGAGCTGAATGAAAGAAATTAAAGCAGAGTTA